TTTCACAAAGAATATTTTGGAGATACATATTAATGTGTTGATAAACCGTTATTATTTTCAAATACAGTTTTAAATTTATTTTTACAATTTTACCTGCTTCACCCCTTAATAATTTGAATGGTTTTTTGATTTTTTTAATTATTTTTAACATGGTTGTTAAAAAAAAGCCTTTATTTATTGTTTATAAATTCTTTTTACGAGAATTGTAAAATTTGATTTTATACACTTTAAGTTGCTCTCGAAACCGAGTTCAAAAATTTACTTTATTTTTTTACATACTGCATTATTGTCATCGAGCTTTCCCATAATACGGAGAACTGTATTTAATTTTCCACAATAATAAACGGCCACGTTAATCCACGATCTCCATTTTGTAATTACGGGTTATAGTGGTAAATATATACCTGGAGCCTCTTTTTTAGACATTTCGACTTTATAGTAGATGTTTTTTTAAAAACCTTTTTTACAATTTGCGATTACTTTGTTAACAGAGCTTAAGTGGTCACGAATCAGCTGTTCCGCAATTCTATATAAGTCATGTGCTGCATATGTTACATTTATCAATTTTGAATAAAATACTTTTAATGATTTACCAGCTTTTTTCATGTATGGCGCTGTGTCTGATAAAAATAATAGTACATGATCGCGCCGTATTCCGTCTGGCTATAATTTAGTCATAGATTGTTAAAAACTTTACTAAAAATTAAAAATATGGATTCAAAACGTTCTATCTCCAAAGTACCTATAATAACATTGGCAATAAGACGACTTTCTATATGTGTTGCTCCATCGATACTCACCCAGATGCGATTATTAGATACTTGGGTTCTATTTTTTTTTTAATAGTTACATAGTAGATATTATCAATGTAGAATTTTCTCGATATTGATTTCTCTGGAATTGGACAAAGATCGATATTTAAAGTTGATTTTTATCAAGTATTTGTAGGTAGCTGCTTTTTTTAAATTTTATTTTACTCGTATTTAAGGGCTTTGATACGTTTGTCCGTTTTTATGTGTTGTGTAACGTTAAGTTTTTATCACTTTAAAATTAACACTTGTGCAATTTACAAAACAGCATTACTTGTGTCGATCCAAAAATTCAAACACAAAATATCGAAGTTTCGAATACTGCAATATTTTATCTTTCTGCATTTTACGTTAAATAAAGAGACAGAAAAAAAAATCATACACGATCAAGTAACAAACTAAATCTAACAATATGGTGAACTGACAAACACTGAAATACGTATGAATGTATGTTAGAATATTCTATAGACAAAAATATATAAAATATTAGCCATATAACCAATAAAGAGTTATAATCGGTTACTATTTGATTCCGGATTACTTAATAATAGATTTTAATATGAACAAAAAATTGGGTATTTTTTTTATAGATTTAAATAATATATACGAAAAAAAAACAATAAAATAAATGATAAATATAATATGTACCTTTAGTAAAATATATATTGAATTCAATATTTCAATAATAATCAATAACATAATTAAAAAAATTTTATTTAACTTAATTTTTAAAATTCAGTATCTATTTATATAGTTGTCAATAATAATGATTTTGTATTAGATATTATTTTATGTATATTAATAATATTAATGATTAATTTAATTTAACTGTTATAAATGTATTTAATTTAAAATAAAATAAAATAAATGTGTGTAAAAAAAAATTCCTTTTATTTTATTTATAGTATTAACAATACTGTTTTTGATAGTACAATAGGATACTCGAAAGTCAAAATACTTATACTATATAGGTATCATATCAGTTGTGCAATCCACATGTTGAAATTAATATGGACGTCTAAATGGTTTAATTTTTTGTTTTTTTTGTTCATTGTTTACTGATTTCAAATAAATACTTTAAATTCCTTGTGTGTATGTGCTTCTCAGACTATATATATAGTTCTTCTTTTGAACGTATCATGATATTTTTTAATTCAACGAAACTAACCACTTTTTTATAGTTTTTTTTTTTGTTTCAACAAACGTCTTTAGGTATTTCTATTACTATATATAAAATATTTTGTGAGTGTATACATTGTACAAGTATTATTAACATTTCAAGTTATACGAGAGCACGAAAACTAAAATCTGGTTAATCCGATCTATAAATATCGACGTCAAAATGCTCACGATTTTTTTTACATTACGTTGTAATACTATTATTTTTAATTAATCATTACTTAATAAAAAGTAAAACTAATATTATTTTAACTAGATCTTATAATCCTGTTTAAAAAATACTTGGGTACGTAAAACGCAATCACCAGTAGGATAAAAAAATATGTTTTCACTTTAATACTGTTTTAACGTATTATAATATTCATAACATATATTAGTACATTTTGCATTGTATAATTTTTATTATTTTTTCATTAGGTAAAAGAAATACACAACTATACAAAATTTTGCACAACAAATATTAATGATGTAGGAGGTTTACATATCGTGAAAGAGGCGCGATGTAGGAGGGCTTCCAATGAAGCTACCTACTAAATTTTTATTATTATCATTTAAAATTGTACACAAAGCTTTAATTTAAATTAAAATTCTCATAAAAAAATAAACGTCATCTACAACAATATTTTACTTGAAATAAAATAATTTATAATATATGCTTATAAAATTTAAATAGTTATTACTTTTTATTTTACGTCTGCTGGTATTACAAGTATATTATTATAAGTACCAGTGTATAAATAAACACCTGTGTAGTAGCAATGGAATATTTTTGAAAATTTGTTAAACTAACCACAGTTAGTTACTTACTGAATACACGTGAAGTACACCTACGCGCCATGATTGCAAACTATTAAATCGGACATAAGAGGAGAATAAACGGATGGTGACGATGGAAGTTTTCCTAAAATTGATCAACAGGAAAAAATCGCCTGTTATCTGCTTGCGAATAATCCAATAAACAGAATAACCAACAAATATCATGTCCATGTACAACAGTTGTTTGTGTACACGGTTTGGAACTTATCACTAGATTTAGCTGACAGACGTAGGTAATTGATCCAGAAAGTTACTGAAAAATTAGTATTAAAATTCTACGGTAGGTTTTTAGATATACCTGTCTAATACTATGTATAATTTTTATATTTATAAACCTCGCATACTTCATAATTTCACCATGATGATTTTTTTTTTTTAAGGACTAAGCCCCTATCACTGTTTCTCTGTTAAATGTTAACAAATCATTTTTTTTTTTTTTTTGTAGTTTTTGCTAATTATTACTATATTTTATTTAAGTATTTTTTATAGCTTGTATTCTTATAGTTCCTGAACTTTTACATTTATCCGTAAATATTTCTATGATGATTGTACGATTATATTATGATATCCATTAAAGGTATCTTTGATGTAGTCCTCCAATCCTATCTGCTCGTTTTATACCCTTACAACACTGTGTAAAACTTAATTAATATAACACCTATTTTTGTGTTTCAGCGTTTCTCAACTTATGGTACGCAGAAATCTCAAAGGTGGTTCCGTTAAGAAAAAATAAATATTTATCATAAAATAAAATATTATTATAAGCGTAAAATATTATTTCGTTTATTTGATTAATTAAACCAAATAGTTGGTTTTATACACATTAAAGATAGAAATTTAGATAAATGATAATCTCTATAATGTTGTAATGCTTGGTTGATTTATGTTTTATCAAATTGTACATACCTAATTTTATTTTTGTTCAATAAATGTTAATATTCATACAAAGATGATAATATATACATTTTTTTTTATAAGTAAAATAAAAAAATAGAGTTTACTGAATTAAGTGGTACGTAAACATTTTAAGATGTGTAGGTGGTACTCGAACGTTAAAAGATTGAGAATCACTGCTGTATTTGAAAGCCATTATGTAGTATTATATTTGTGGCACCTATATAATATCTTACATTCTTTACCGCAATATCTCACAAATACTCAAACGTCTACCATGTTACGTAGTGTATTATGTTAAAAATAAATTACACATATTTAAGTTTTTAAACTTATATTATGGATAGTAAAAATAACAATATTTAATAAAAATACACACATGGAGCTGATTGGTAATATATTATGAATCCAATACCCGCATATTAATACCTACAGAATATTAATGTATATTAATATATTATTAGGTATAATAACTGTAATACTTGTAGGTTACAGCACGAATACAAGAAATATAGACAGTAAATTTTTAATTTTTATTTCCGTATATAGAGCAATAGTGTACATTGGGAGGAAGGATGCTAAGCTGGCTATGAAAAAAATTGACCTTTACTTAATTAGTACAGTTTACACGCGAACATAGATAAAAAAAAAAATGAAAAGGTATTGTTAAAAACAAAGGGTATCAGTAATCATTAACGCTATTACAAGTCTAATATAATGGCTAGTCGATATTAGATTTTCTAATTATTACCTGATCTATACGTTATTTATTATTCTAACGATTTAAAATATGTATAGCATAGAATAAAATAA